CCAAGGTCCTGTGGCCCTGTGCTTGCTTAGTCCTTTAATTCCTTTAATTTGGCCCCTTGTCCTCCCCTATTAGGAGGCTCCTGATTGCCTATGCCATGAGCCTCCTTATCCCCCTCTCCTCATCACACTAATTGCTATGAAACCATCAGGACGCATTGCAATGTATAAAAACCTTAAGAGTCCTACCTACGCAAAAATGGGGGCCCAGCACTGTAAACTGAACCCTATACACTAAACCCCAAACCCTGAACCTTAGATCCAGGATTTGGGATGGCAAACGCCCGTACGCCCAACACATGCAGCTTCCAGCCTCTGCCTCAGTGGTGGAGCTTCAGGGTAATGGATTATAGGGATTGTAGAAGGGGTTTGAGGATAGATCTGAGGTGTCGTCTTGACTTCTCAACGCCGGATCTTTTTCAGGATTGCACTGGGAGGCATAGGAGTTTAGGGTTCGGGGTTCTAGTATATGGAATGTTGGCAGTTAGTATATTCGGTCGTTGTGAGGAATTTGGATTGACGTTCTTCTCAAACAGTCCAGTCGGCTACACACTCAACCTAATACTGGACCCCCCGGGTCTATATTGGGGTCCCCTATTTTGGGAAACCATACGAAAAACAAATATATATATATATATAGTCTGCACAGGCTTTCCTTTGGATGTGATAATTTTAAAGAAGGTGGTGACCTTTCTTGCCGCAGCCACGAAGACAGGTTGCGTGTACATGTATAGACGTATCCGTCCAGGGGCAAAGGTACCGCGCATGGCATTTTATGGCAGTATGTTGACTTGCTGTGCTCATCGGAACTATCTTGCATTTTATACAGCGATGCTCGCTAATTTGCCTTGCGTCCGCATGATCCGCATCTGCAAGATTTCAGGGCAGGAGCTGCCTGATGTTAGCACTGAGGGAATCCATGACATACGCGACTTGAAGCAAAAACTTCTCAATCTGTATGGTTTCCCGGTCTTCCTGCAACGCCTGCTGCACTGGGGCAACAGGCTGAGCAATTCAACCATGCTAGAGTCGCTCCAGGGTGGCAATAGCTTGGACGATTCAGTGCAATCAGACGTGCCAGATGCTCCAATCCATCTACAGCTTATCTTGCTTACAGCGTCCACAGCTGCAGAGCTGAAGGAGACTAATGTGATGTTTCGTGAGGCTTGCCGGTGCGGCAAGCTCGAGACCGCGCAAGTGCTGCTGACTGCTGGTGCCAACAAGGACTGGCAGGATGATCACTCCAGCAGGACCCCTCTGATGGAGGCAGCTTGCGAGGGCCACACGCAGATTGCAGAGTTGCTATTACAAGCTGGTGCCGACAAGGACATGCAGGATTTTTCCGGCAGAACAGCTCTGATGAATGCAGCATTCAGAGGAAACACGGGGGTCACACAAAAGCTGCTAGGAGCTGGTGTTGAAAAAGACTTGCAGGATGGCCGGGGCACGACAGCTCCCATGCGTGCAGCTTTAAGTGGCCACTTGGAAATGGCACGGTTGCTGCTGCAAGCTGGTGTCAACAAAGACTTGCAGAATTACGACGGCACCACGGCTCTCATGATGGCAGCTTACAACGGCCACACGGAGATTGTGCAGTTGCTGCTGCAAGCTGGTGCTGAAAAAGACTTGCAGGATCAGTCTGGATGGACAGCTCTCTTGGATGCAGCTTGCAAAGGCCACACGGAGATCGCGCTGATGCTGCTGCAAGCTGGTGCCAACAAGGACTTGCAGGATCAAGAAGGCTGGACAGCTCTCGAGCTTGCAGCTAGACGGAGATAGCAGCGAAAAGAAAAGATCCCGGAACGGAAGAGCGCAAGATCCTTCAGGGGTCAATTCATTAATTTAATGGGAGTTATAGGGTCCTGATCTGGGGTTGAGTTTACCAAGCTCCTGTCATTAGCCAAGCAGTCCATTCCCTCAACCCTATCAACTTTCACCAAGGTCTATTCCCCGCCGTCCCCGCCTTCCTTCCATCTCTATCCTGATTAACAATCCGGTCTTTCATATCAAGGGTATCCAGAAAGGAACCATTACCTTGACCACTGACCCCAAGACATTTGCGTAGTCCCAAGGCGCGCAACGTCTGCATGAGAGGGGATTTCCAGGTTCACAAGCTTTGCGCTGATCTTTACAGCCTTCGCTGAACAAAAAACATTACATTCCTTGAAGCACCGAAACCCCAATACCCTGAACCCTTACTCCCTAGACCCTCAAATCCCAATCCCTGAGCTCCTAGACCCAAGAACCCCTCGAATCTTATTCACGTCAGCCTGTGTATTCCTAAGCTGAAGCTTCTCTGAGGTTGCCGGCCTACTGGCGCAGTGCCAGCTCTGCCGAAACCTGGGGGCAGCACCCGGCTCAGGGTGTTGAAAGCTTCACAGATCATAGGGCTTCAGGTTTTGTAAGGGTGACGAGGGATTGGGGTTTTGAGGTTCATTGGGATTGAAAATTACCAAACCCAAAACGTAAACCCTAAGCCTTACACCCTAAACCCTATACCCTCAACATCCCTCAACCCTCAACCCTAAACCCCAGCCCCTTTTTCAGCCACATTCCGAGGTGTGTTTACCAAGGCCGCGCTTTCATCCCGTAAAGCCTTTGGACTCGCACGCGAGGGGCAAAGCATATACATGAGCTCTAGTTTAGGGTTTAGGGTTTAGAGGTATAACACCTGGAAAGGCTAGTTGTAATAGGGGGTTATACAGGGGACCATTACAGGGCTGGTTATGTAGGGGATTACACAAGGGTTTAGGGTTTGGGGTCTAGCCTCCTTAAAGGGGGTTATATAGAGGATTATGTGGGGGGACATTATAAGGCTTTTTGAGGGGGATGCTAGGAGTTTTTAGACTATAGCTCACATGAACCCCATATAATCCATTATTACCCCTATTTAGTGGCATGTAATTGCCCTAGAGGCCCCCATGTAATCTCGGTTGCAGCGTGTGGACCTGGGTTGTTATGAGAATGTGGGCAACAGTCAAGATTTCGCATATTCACGGACATGGGTTTCTGTTTGGGAGTAAAATGAGGACTCTATTAAACTACCAAGAAGAACGCTACGTCCACCCTTAACGGTGCCTTGATAAGCCAAATATTGCCAGCAGCTCACATGAGCCCTGGACTAAATTCGAAGTATATCCCTGAATAGGTCCCCCCCCAAACCCTATATAGTCCCTTATAGGTCCCCCCCAAAACCCTATATAGTCCCTTATAGGTCCCCCCAAACCCTATATAGTACCCTATAGGTTCCACCCCCTCAGTTTAGTCCGTAGCTCACGTAGGCGGGTGGTAAACCCTAAACCCTAAACCCTTAAGTCTGCGCCAGGATCTCAGCTCGCACCGGCTACTACTTCGCCACGGCTGATGCAAGGCAAATTCACCTGGCTCGGCAATTATACAGGATACATACATCTATATAGAGCTCTAGTCTAAACTCCTTAAAGGGGGTTATATAGGGGATTATATAGGGGACTACTATAGGGCTTATTAAGGGGATACTAGGAGTTTAGACAATGGCTCATATACATATATATATATATATATATGTGCATACAGTCAAGCTCCTTCTCGATTGCTCCCTCCGCCGAATACTGCGGCGAAGCTTTTAATCGCCTCAACCTTGAGGTTTAAGATGGGTCAGGTATAGTTTTGCGCAGAGTGCCAGGAAAGGTCAATCTGAATGATTTTGCTTCTAGTTTTGCTGATGAAGCCTACTATGAAGGCAGAGACATGGTCCTCAAACTAGCGCCTTTCCGTTACTCTCCATAGCTTATAGCAGCCGTACTCATCGCCTCAATCCCTCACTTTGCGATCAATCCTAGTTCTCAGGGGGGGGATTATGAGCTCTACTAGGGCGAGATGTCAAGTCTTGATCTCGGTTCCGGTGCTCCAGAGAGTTCTCGTTTACATGACCGGTTCAACAGCGACGCCAAACCCCCTCAACCCTATACCCTAAGCCCTAATCCCAAGCAATGAAGCATTGTTCTGAATGCTGCTCGAGCTGCCGTTCGGCTAATCCTGCATGACGAGCTGTCAGCTGCAGTGACCCTACTGTTGTCAGACAGTACTTGGAGAATGACAAAGAGGCAACGAGATCCGTTGCTGCAGTGGGTCGGGGTCTTTGTGCCGTGGCATTTGCGTATACAATCTTAGTGGCTGGCCTGGCTTCTTTGACATGGGACACCAACAGCAACATGACCCATGGGTTATATCTACCGACTGGCTAGCGCATTTCGAGCGCAGGCGGGAACCATTAACCGATTGCAAGTGTGTTGGCACACTTGGCACACTTGCTTTTCCAGATAAATTAACCGATTGCAAGTGTGCTGGCACACTTGGCACACTTGCTTTTCCAGCACACTTGACACACTTGACACACGTGACACACTTGGTCCACGTCCCTGAGTAGGTCAAGTGGGTCAAGTTGTGTGCAAGTGTTGCAAGTGTGCTGCAAGTGGGCTGCAAGTGGGTCAAGTGGACCAAGTGGGCTGCAAGTGGGCCAGGTAGGGCAAGTGTGCCGCAAGTGGGCCAAGTGTTCTGCAAGTGGGTCAAGCGGGCTGCAGGTGTGTCAAGCGTGTGAAGTGGGTCCAGTTGGGTGCAAGTGGGGCAAGTGTGCTGCAAGTGGGCTGCAAGTAGGTCAAGTGGTCCAACTGGGCTGCAAGTGGGCCAGGTAGGGCAAGTGTGATGCAAGTGGGCCAAGTGTGCTGCAATCGTCCCACCAGAAAAGTCTCCCTCAAACTGTCTTCTGTGTGAGGGAGACTGCTGCGATTTTCAAGCCTTCTACAGCCTCCTGTCTGCCGGCGATCCGCCTTATCCGGGTGACCCACTTCGGGCAGCATTTTCTGGCTTGCCGCCTCACGCAAAGTCTCCCTCAAACTTTGTTTATTTTGAGGGAGACTTTGGGGAAGTGGATTCAGGCTTATACAGCACAGTTGCCCCACTTGGCCCACTCGCAGCACACTCGACACACTTGGCCCACTTGCAGCACACTGGCCCCACTTGACCTAGGACGCTGGGAAGGGAGTGGATCGAGTGTGGCAAGTGCGTCGCAAGTGGGTCAAATGCGTCGCAAGTGGGTCTTGTGTGTTGCAAGAGCAAGTGTGTCAAGTGGGTCAAGTGTGTTGCAAGTGGGGCAAGTGGTAGCAATCGCTTAATAATCCCGGAACCTGAGCAAGTGTGCCAAGTGTGCCAACACACTTGCAATCAGTTATTGGTCCCTGTTTCCACGCGCACTGAGCTAGCGGGTAACTACTCCAAATGGAGCTGTGAGTATCTATATATGGGGTTGCAGGTAGATCTTACACTCAGAACCTGACGACCTAGACCTTAAATCCTCAATCCAAAGCCCCCAACCTTAAACCGTACACCTAGCCTCAGCCCTGAACCCCCGAATCCCTAAGCCCGAACCGCAATCCCCTTATCCTAAGCCCTAAACCTACATATTTCCACATAGACCCCATTTCCCATTGAGGGGACCCCATAGATCTTTATCAGATTTTCGTTCTGCATGTACCTACCTAGCCCCTAAGTCCCAATCCTCGTGTCATCCCATTTTCTGTTGCCTTCTCCAATTGATTCTCAATTATCCCTAAACCCTAAACCCGATACTCGCCTGTAACCCCTTCAAAGGGAACTGAGGTTCATATTTCATCTTCTATCTTTGTTTCCATTTACTTCTCCATTGCGGTACCTTAAACTCCTAAACCCCATCTTACTGAAAAACCCTAAGCCCTAGACTGCAGTTTCCATTTTCTCCTCCATTCCCCCCTACAGCCCCTATGTAACCCTTGTACCTTAAACCCTATTTCCTAAAGGCTAAATCCGATACCATAAACCCTAAATCCTAAACCCTATACCTTAACCCCTAAACCTTAAACCTTGAACCTTAAGCCCTGAACCCTAAACCCTAAATCCTAAATCCTAAACCTATTGAACCCAAGCCTCGCCCCAGGCCCCAGCCCCAGCACAGAGCCGGGCACTGCTCTGCGAAGAGCAGCTGCCGGAGATTCCTCGAAGGCTCCGGTTTTGGGGTTTTGGGGTTTTGGGTTTTAAGGGTTTTCGGTGCTAGGGATTTGGGGGTTTGGGGTTAAGGGATTTCAGGGTTCAGGGGTGTAGAGTTTTCCGGGTTTCAGGGGTTAGGGATGAGGGTTTAGGTTCTAGGGGTTTAGGGTATTAGGGCTTTAGGGTTTAGGGGCACAATTCTGCCATAAGGTTCTGCCGGCATTACCACAACCATTTTTGTTATGCCCTGATCCCTAAACCCTAAACCCTAAACCCTAAACCCGAAGCCGCCTAAGCCCTAAACCTGTCGCCTTAAATTTTCCACCTAGTCCAGCATTTGGTGCAGCACTTGCGGTCCGAAGCTACTTGAACTATAGCCGAATATAGACATAACCCAATTACGAGCCCCCTGTGTCCTCCACTAGCTCTAGGGTATAATTGCAATTGCAAAGGGGAAACCCTAAACCCAAAACCCCAAACCCTATAAGTACGCATATACCTCCAAGCAGGTTCCCAGCGGCACAGATTTTGAGCTTCATCAGCTTCGCAAGGCTTAGATGCAGTACTTGTGAGTTTTTTTTGTTTTTAATTTTTTGGATCCTTGTCGGGAAGTTCCCGCAATGCGCATAATAGTATTTTGGGGTCTATAATCGCGGCTCCCTGCTTTTGGAAAGCCTCGCATCATAATACTGTATAGTATTATCATGGATGTTGCTCTATCGGAGTCTACGTGGTTGGTATTGCCAAGTTATCACGCGCTTGTTGTGTTGTCAGTGTTCATGCTGTTGTCATTGTCAGAATATCATGACTGTTGTTCTGTTACAGTGTGTATGATGTTTATCGCCATGTTATCATGGCTTTGGTTGTATTGGAGTCTATATGCTCGCTGTTGCCATATTACCATGATTGTCATCCTATCGAAGTATATATGATTGTTACAGCCGTTTTTCTTCCAATATAACTGTCGAGTTCTGTTTTATCCGAGAATATGTTGTTGGAAGAGGTTGTTATTCTCGACAGCGAAAATTAGTATCGCCTACATGGACCTATACAGCCCTGTCTCCAAGGATCAGCACAAGCCCACGCAGAGAGGGATCAGGGGAGCGTCCTGGCCGTTCACACTTCGAAACTAGAAATTCATGCGGACAGAGTAGACAATAAGATAGTAGATGTGGCACGCAGTGGAAAGGCAGTATATTCTCTTAAGTTAGCCTGGCCAGTGCAGTATGGTATAGTAATTAAGATGCTGGTCCGGTATGGTTTGCTGTAGTAGAGATAAAGTGTATGATGGATATTATCACCCTGCAACCCCTAACTGGAATTAACTTCTGGTTTGAATGTAGACTGGTGAGAGCGTTTTACTTACTCCTGCAGGAGTATTGTAACTGAGTTAGAGATGTGTACCCATAGTAAGAAGTAATTCTTGTTTGGCTTGGTGCACTTCACTTAGAGCCATCCAGCCCAGAATCCCGAACCCCCCAACACCTCGGGGTTCATGGACTCCAAAACTCTAGCCCTACCCACGATTAAACCCAAGTTCCTTCATAGTCACCAGTACATCCTGAACTCCCTAAGCCCAAACATCCAATCCTAATGCAAGTCCGCTCGTGGTGCAGGACTTGGCGCGCTTCACCAGCGAGGGAAGCTGGAAACTGAGAGGGCCGGAATCAAGCATAGAGCCTCCTTCGAGTCTCTAGTTCTGCGGCTGTTGCAGCATTTGATTGCAAAAAGTTGCTATGTTCTTCGCCTTACCCACATGGCTCACAAGCATGATCGTCCGCCAGAAAGGTGGAGAGCCATCACACCGCTGGCCAGGTGTGGGGCAGCACATGGGGAGTTGCCGAGGCGTAACTTCGGAACTTGCACCTTGAGGCCAACGTGCTCACAGCGGTGCATGACGCCCGCAGTGGGTGCATGACAGCAAGACGATGCGCAAATGTGCTTGCTGGGGGTGCCCAATCCTGGAGATTGGCCTGTGTGGCAGGGAGGGGAGGCCTCAATGTCGGTTGGCTTGGTGCAGGCTAGTGTAGGCATTGCATTCCATGGTGAACTAGAAGCAGAACCATCGCTGTGACATGGAAGAGTCTGATCGAGCTGTCATCCCTGCCATTTGTGTAGTTGTAGATGGAGTTGTTTTGCTGCGACGTGATGTGGGCATTGGGTGTGTAGAAGCTCTAGTTGTGCAGCTGTTGCAGCATTTGATTGCAACAAGTTGCTATGTTCTTCGCCCTACCCACATGGCTCACAAGCATGATCGTCCGCCAGAAAGGTGGAGAGCCATCACACTGCTGGCCAGGTGTGGGGCAGCACATGGGGAGTTGCCGAGGCGTAACTTCGGAACTTGCACCTTGAGGCCAACGTACTCACAGCGGTGCATGACGCCCGCAGTGGGTGCATGACAGCAAGACGATGCGCAAATGTGCTTGCTGGGGGTGCCCAATCCTGGAGATTGGCCTGTGTGGCAGGGAGGGGAGGCCTCAATGTCGGTTGGCTTGGTGCAGGCTAGTGTAGGCATTGCATTCCATGGTGAACTAGAAGCAGAACCATCGCTGTGACATGGAAGAGTCTGATCGAGCTGTCATCCCTGCCATTTGTGTAGTTGTGGATCGATTTGTTCTGCTGTTGCATACTGAAACTCTAAATGCGTTCAGGCGCCGCAATCTGCGCACTGGACGAGGATCTGAAGAAGTTCCTACAAGAGCAGGAGGCTCCACCATTGGCAGGCTTAATGCTCAGGGTATAGCAATTAGGCGTCAGGATTTGGGTTTAGGGTGATCCTAATTCTGGATTATTCTACTTGTTCAGGCTTTGCACCCTAAACCTTAGAAACCCTAAACCTACAAAACCCTAAACCCCCATAAACCCTAAATCCCAAGACCCTAAGCCTCAACCGTGCTAAAGACGGCTTCTTGTTCGTAGTGCAACAGGCCACGGCGGCGCGGGCCAAGGACTTGCAGCAGCTGCTGGCCCGGCAACGCCCGCCTCGCCATGCCTGAGGGGATTTAGGGTTTAGGTTGTCTACAAGGTTCCTGAAAAAATTTTTAATTTCTGTTACCTAGAATCCTAATATTTAGCTGAAATTATAATTTCTACTGGGGCTCCAAATCCCTTAGAGTTGTAGGGTTTAGGATGATTGTTCAGGTCCATTGGGGGTTCCCAGTTATAGGGAACATATAGTGTATAGGGTTCAGGTATATACTTGTATGTAATTAGAGGCACTATAGGAGGTTACATAAACATATATGGGTAGTTCCGAAAATTGGGTTCCCATTTTGGTACCCCTGAAGATTAGTAAGTCATTTAGGATATACCCGAAAGGGGGCCACAATTTTGAGAATATTTCTTATGGGGTAGTGAGAACTATAATAACATGTAATAGATTCAGATGTCGGAGCAAGGGATTAGGGATTAGGGTTTGTCCTAATAATCAGGGATATCACCCCAACAATGGCGCAATCAAATGGAAAAGGACATGGAACATGAAATGGAAACTGAGATTATAAAGGGGTTTCCAAGGATTAGGGTTTCAATAAATTAGGGTTCCCTTTGTGGGGTACCTATACTAGGATTATATTAAGCATACAATACCCCAGCTATCCACAGTAGAACCAGACTTAAAAAGCCACCTTAACCCTCCAAGTAGCATGCACGCAGATGTGCCAGGGATCTCTTATTGTGATATCCGACTTCCTTCATGGCACAGCAGGACAGCAATACGAGTATGACATGCAGCGAAAAACCGTCCTAGGAAAGGGGCGCAACAAATGCAGCTCCTGCCGCAAAGTCTTCGGCACTGGCTCTGTCGCTGCGCGCACATAAGGGCAGAAGATGCAGCCCTGTTGAGTTTAGGGATTTAGGGTTTAGGGATTTAGGGTTTAGGGTTTAGGGATTTAGGGTTTAGAGTATCAGGGTTGAGATCTTGAGGTTTGCCACCTTATTTGAAATTGTGCACGTCCAGGTTGAGCCCTAGACAGTTGCCCACCATACTGGTTCTTAGCAGGGAAGAAGGGAATATACCCCCTAGATACTCCGTATATAAAACATGCTCTATTATTTGCTAAGAGCCAGTAAGTCATGGGGCAAGAACCGATCCGCTGGTGCCTGCCCTCGGTTGCTCAAGCCTTACAGGCATGCCCACATGGGAGTTTCTTAAAAGGATCCCCAGGGTTTAGGGTTTGGGCATGTGGTCTCCTCATTAAGTGGGACCTCTGTGATTCCTGAACCCAGGCCTCGAAATATCTGGACCTGCTACAAGGCACCCAGGGAAACAGCTGCCCGAGAAAAGCTTATGCAACTATCGAACCTCAACTGGGTTGCTTTTAAGGAGTCTAGATTAAGTTATCAAAGCACGGAAAGGCATATCTATATACAGATATAGCAATTAGTCTGATTTCCTTAAATGTGGTACCTTAGCAACAACACAGATGCTTGGTCATGCTGTGCCTCCCTGATGAGTTGTAGAATGACATGTCCTGGAACCGGCAAACTTGTGTAAGTGCTGCTTTTGCGTTCTGTACCCTGACCCTTTACACACATCCCTTGTTGTGTTCGAAGTACGAAACCTCCGGAGACATCCCTAAACCGTCAAACACCAACCTCAGCCAAAAAGAGCAACCACGCAAGGCCCCAAAGCCTACATGAGCCATAGTCTGAACTCCCAGTATGCCCCTTAATAAGCCCCATAATACTTCACTATATAATCCCCCTACACAACCCCTTTATGGAGGTTAGACTATAATTGACATCAACACTGAACCCGAGCGCTCTTAGCCCATGCGACCATGCTGCGCGGCTGCGCGCTCGCGTGCTGTCCCTGACAACCTGCAGTGCTCGGGGATGAGTGTTTGGAGGTCTATTTAGGGTTTAGGGTTTAGGGTTTAGGGTCTATAGGATAGTTCTCTGGGTTTAGGGCTTAGAGTTCAGGGTTTAGGATTTAGGGTTTTAAGTAGGATAGCAGAGTAATTGCAGGTTCATGGGTAGTCATATCTGGGGGTGCCAGTAGGGTAACTGTGATGAAGTAGGGAGAACTGGCTTGCCGTTAATGAGCTTCAATTCAGTGACCGTACCGCGGATAGAACTTATCTTCAATAACTTATCACAATATGGACATATCTTAATACAGTGAATACTGTGCCTTCCGTGTCACGATGGCTTAACTTAAGCTCCTTGACCGCGCCCCAAGAAGCACAATCAAAGTGATTTGATTGCCTCAACCACCAGAGTACGGACCTGATACCTTTTTCAGGGTCCTTATTATAGGGGGTTTCTTATGACATGGGTAATATGATTATGATTGTTCTAGCTATTGGTAAGATTGCAATCACTATAATGTTAGTACTTTTATTATCCGCTTATGGGGTTTGTCTTATTACACAGGTTTCAAACCCTGAACCCTAAACCCTAAAACCTATTGAGGCCAAGGCCCCTTGCAGGCTCTCGGCAGCAGCGCTCTCTGATGTCAAGAGCCAACCCCTGAGCAGCAAATACTTTGCACGGGGTTCGGGCTTAGGGGTTTAGGGTTTAGGGTTTAGGGATTTAGGGTTTAGGGTTTAGGGTTTCTGAAAGCCCTCAACCCCAAACCCCAAACCACAACAGTGTCTAAAAACGAGGCGCGCTTTCTTTTGTAAGGTAGATCCCAAAGTTTACGCATTGGGGTCTAGGGCCCCTAGGTATGACAGACCCTCGAGAAGTTTCAGGGTTTCCTGACCGTGCTCTTCAAGGGGTCCTTCATGCGGGAGTCGAAAACCGAACCGTCGGGTCTACAGCCTTCGAGCCATCTTAACCGACTAGCATCTGTGCTGGACTTCGTGACTTGGTAAATGCCGGGGATTTCCTCGCTATAGACGCTTTGTGACAGCTTAAGGCTGATGGCCTCCTTCGTATGAAGCTCCGCAGGATAGCAATCTGAAAGGTCAACAGTGTCATCTGGGGTCCCCAGGAATCCGTCCCAATCACCCCAAACCTCCTACACCCTAAGCCCCCCAAACCCGCTGAAGCCCTTAAATGCCTCTAGACCTCGTAAAACCCCTGAAGCTCCTAAATTCCCCTCTAAACTCCCTAGACCCCTGAACCCTCAACCCATGTCTGGGCCTTAGGCTGGTTGCTTGCACCTTGCACGTCTGCGCAGAAACACCCGAGGATGCGCAACAAAAGGCGGGTGTTCTGCTGAATACCCAGGGGGCCCAATGCTCCTTAATTGGGAATCCTTCGGGTTTAGGGTTTAGGGTTTAGGGCACAGCGTTATATGGGTTTCCCAAAACTATACGGGTACTTTTAAGGGTCCCGATCCCTACAATACGGATTATAGAATGTTGGGGTCTACATGGGGGTCCCCTATTTTGGGAAACCACACTTTATTGGGAATACATAGCGTTCTATGAGCCATGACCTAAACTCCTTAAAGGGGGTCGTATGAGGGGTTATCTAGGGTGAAGGGTTATGGATGGGATACTAGGACTTTAGACTATGGCTCATATGGGGTTTGGGTATAGAGAACAGGATGGACAAGAATGTGGCTTCAGTAATGCAATCCTGGTCGTTGTCGTCTATCGCCCATTCCTCCCGTGCCTCATATTTTAAAAGCAGGTAGTCTACGATTCCCCAAGCCCTAAACCCGCAACAGTGTGAAAGTCATCTGCTGGCAAACGGGCCTGTACTTGGAATTTCTTGGGGGCGTACTTAGTATACGTTCCCTCTCTTTTGCTATGTGGGAACCCCGGTTATTCTGATTAGTAGCCCACTTACAAAGTCCCCGGACCCTCCAAGTAGCCGCCAGTCGTTGGGAAGGAGGAGAGCTTGTCATATTGTGACAGTCGCTGCAACGTAAGATGTTTATTGTCAGAGTCTATCCCTAATGTAGACCCATGATTGATAAACCCCCTCCCCTGAATAGGGATTACATTACGGATCCCTACGAGTTCAGGTTTCAGAGATGCGGCTTTAACGCACCCCCCTCATCAGAGCAGACGAAGAGATGCTGACAGCATGTGGGGTTGTCAAGGGTTTAGGACTTACGGTTTATAAGATCAAGGTTTTAGGGTTGAGGTCTAGGAGTTTAGGATTTGGGGCTTAGGTAGGGGCCCAGCTCGGGTTTTCCCATAGCAACGGTTCTAGCATTTGGGTTTACGTCAAAGGGACCCCTATTTTTAATTTTCCAAAGCAGGAGAAGGAAGAGCGGACTCTGAAAGAGTCTATCGAAGCAGCGTCGATCGTCCGAGCGAAAGGGGATGTGGGGCCGGCCCATTTGATTCTTAAATCCGACAGTTGCTCAAAATCGGAGTACTCAACTGGGCTGCCCTTTGGGAGTCCCTATGATAAGGACTAGAGCATATTTTTTTGAGGGCATGTTGGGTTTTGGGATATTGAAAATGAAAGTTCAATTCCAACAACGGCGAAGAGTCAGGGATTCTGAAATTACGAGTCTTGTTCAATTCCTTTGAATGAGGCATGATGCATGCACGGGTGCTATAGGGAGACTTTCTGAGATGCATGGGGCCTACGGGTTTCTCCATTCTGGATCCGGTTGCGGGTACCGCAAATGAGGATCTAGAGACATGCAGAGTTCTATCAGCAACACCTCAGGGAAATGCATCCATCCATCCGTTAGCGTGGTAAGTCGCTCAGCTGTAAACTCTTGGGCCAGGATTTAGGGTGTAGGGTTTGGGATCTAGGGTTTAGGGTTTAGGGTTTAGGATTCAGGGTTTAGGGTTGAGGGTTCAGACTTGAAGCATATTCGTGTTAAGCTCTCCGCAACCCCCATAATGTCTGAGACCGCCAACCCTACACCCTTAGTAAGCTCCAACCGCTGCAAGCGTTTGACATCAGACGGGCATGACACGGTTTGGTACCTTCAGCCCTGAACCCCAACAGGTCTTGAACTTTGGATCAGGTGCTTCTGAAGTGCTCCCAGAGTTTTTGCTGAACGCGCATCTGCTTGACAATGATGATGCCATTGGAACTCTCAGGTATGGAGCAGCTATATGTTCTCACACAACTA